TGTGGTCTGGGCAGTGCTGAAGGCTGGCTCCCCCAGCCACACCCCTTCCACCCAAAGCCCCACCCCTTCCAGGGAAGCAGAATAGGTCTCCCCACCCCCGCTCCGCCCAGATTCCCGGCAGGTCTGTCAGCCCCTGTCTTGTGTATGTTGCCCCCATTCAAGAGGAGATGCGCTCTCACTTCGGCTGATTTCCAGTTCCCCAGAGCACGTCCACAGGCTTGCGGGAGTGGGGCTTGCGCTAGTGCTGTCAAAACGGCCGTGCCACCATCGTAGTGCGGGCTCTCGAGCCTGGCGGGGCAGGGGCTGGAGGACTGGGCTCGCCAGCCCAAGCTGCTACACCGCAGCAGTGTCTCCATGGCAGTTCTTAGCCCTGCTCGCCAAAGGTTGCCGAGCTTGCTCTCGGGAGCAGCATGAACGTGCCCCTTCAGTCGCTCCCTGGGAGGCACTGTGCAAGTGTCTGAAGCAACTGGTGGTCTGGGTTTTCCTTGAGACCCATCGAATTGAAGGGGGCCTGTGGGAAGGAGGCTCTTGCTTGAAAGGACATTTTGAAGGGGGGTGGCGTACTGTTTCCTCTTTGCTGTAAGGTCCCGCTGGATGCCGCCCTGCATGATAGAGGCTGCTCTGCATCCACCACTGAGAGGCTGCTCTGCAGCCACCACTGAGACCAGAAATTCAAAAAAAAAAAAAAAGTCCCCCACGTTCAGGGCCGGGTCAACTCTAATGGGGGCCCGGGGCTAGGAGATTTTGTGGGACCCCATGTGCTCTGGGCTGGGGCTAAAATGTGGGGTTCAGTGAGCAGGACGGGGCTGTCAGGGAGCAGGTTGGAGGTGGGGCAGTGGGGCCTGGGTGGGAGGTAAGGTGCAGGAGCAGGGTGGGGAGAGAGATGGGGTGTAGGGTCAGGGTGAGGGTGAGACACGGGGTACAGGAGTGGGCATGGGAGTGGGGGATCTGGGTGGGAGTTAGGGCACAAGAGCAGGCTGGGGAGGGATCAGGTGGCTCCACATGCACCTGTGCACCACCTGCTCCTCTCCCATTGGCTACAATTCTCAGTCAATGGGAGCAGCAGGGGTGGAACCTGCAGGGGAGTGCCCCTAGCAGTGACGCACCTAGCTACGGATGTGGTGGGGAGAATGGCAGTGCACAAAGCAGGGGCTTTAGTGGCACCATTCCAGGGCCCTGGGCTTAGGGACCCCCCTTTGCTTGGGGCCCTGGGCTGCAGCCCCTAAAGCCCCTTTCATAATCCGGCCCGGCCGATGCTCGATGTGCTGAGTGCTTTGGAAAGCCCAGCTCCAGCAGGGAGTGCTGAACTTGCCAGAAATTCCAGCCTGTGTGTAGCTGTGGACAAGCCAGGGTTTGCTAATTGCATGCTAGCCCCAAATGCAATGCACTGGATGTCTTAGGTGGTGTTTGCACTGTGAGGGTATGGCTAGACTACATGGCTCTGTCGCCAGAGCCATGTAGATTAGTTTAGTAGACATACCCAAATGAAGCGGCAATTTAAATAATCACCGCTTCATTTAAGTTTAAATGGCTGCCGTGCTGTGTCGATCAGCTGTTTGGCAGCACAGCGCTGTAGTCTGGACGCTCCGCCGTCGACATCAAAGGCGTTTGTCTACCTCCCCGTTATGCCTCGTGGGATGAGGTTTACTGGGGAGGTCGACAAATGCCTTTGATGTCGACCGCGGAGCGTCCAAACAGCTGATCGGCACAGCATGGCAGCCATTTAAACTTAAATGAAGCGGTGATTATTTAAATTGCCGCTTCATTTGGGTATGTCTACTAAACTGATCTACATGGCTCTGTCGCCAGAGCCATGTAGTCTAGACATACCCTGAGTGAGGGCTCTGAATCCCAGCCTGTGCAGACACACGCTAGCTCCCAGCTGAGCCAGCCTGCTACAAACAGCTGTGCAGACGCAGCTTGGTCTGTCTTGGAGAACAGTGTGATGAGGCAAGAGCCTGGCAGGGCAGGGGCTGGTGCTATTCCACAGCGGCGTCTACGCTGCTATATTCAGCATGCTAAAAACAGCCGCTCTTGTAGCCTGGATCCCAGATATAGTGTAGAGCCGTGTTCCTTAAACTGCGGAGAACAACAGAATTCAAAATGGCTGCCCTTAAAGGGGCAGGCAACCTTTCCCCCGACCTTTTTTTTTTTTGCTCAACAAAAAAATGTTTGGTGTTCCTCAGTCTTAAAAAGCGTAAGAAACACTAGTGTAGAGGTACCCAAGAAATTCGGTCTGTTTGGTTTATCCCAAAGAAGATCACCGCATGATTTGATAATGGGGAGGAAAATACTGGTAACGAAAGGGCTCTTTAATCTAGCAGAGAAGAAGCATGATAAGAACCAATGGCTGGAAGTTAAAACCAGATGAGTTCCCAGCATGTATTTAGAACTAAGACCCACGTTTGTAACAGCGAGGGTGAGTAAACATGGGAGCAAACTACCAAGGGGAAAGGTGGATTCTCTGTCTTTTGAAATCTTCGCATCAAGACTGGTTGCATTTCTGGAAGAGGTGCTGTAGCCGGATAAAAGTTACTGGGTAACTGGAAGGTGATAACTGGTGATTCTCTGGTCTGATCGGTGTTCTCTGGGAGGTCAGACTAACTGATCTAAAGGTTCCTTCTAGCCTTATGTTTGTAAATCCATAATTATGTCCTTGTTAATATTTTCAAACTTTATTCAGACATTGAGGGTCAGTGATTGATTAAGGAAACTACACAGATTCTCTCACATGCTGAAAATCTGGTCCTCAATGTTTTCTTAATTTCTGGCTTCCCTTCCTTTTAGTTATCTAAAATATAAAGTTCTTTATTTTGATGGTAGCAACCTGTACTTCTGTCAAAATGTTGAGGGGAAAAATGCTGGATATTAAAAAAAAGGTAACTTGTAATACCAAATATGTAATGTTAATTGGTTTTGCTTATATTTCTGCATGCTTCAGATTAGATATATGCAGGTAAGTAAGAGACAGTGACCCAAGAGTTTGGTTTCTGTTTGGCCAACATACTGTCTTAAACTTTTTCATGTGGGTTGTACAATGAGCAGTAATTTTCCCTAATTTCAGATTTAGTATATTTTAACCCCAAGCATTCCAAAATCATGCCTCAGGGTCCCATGCACAAATTGAGATTGTGCTAAAAATCATGATATTAAAAATATATTTGGGTTATTTGTATTTGCCTTCTGTTTTTTGAGCATTTAAGGGGTCACGTTTTCTAGCTTTTCTATGCAGCCTCGGGGGCTAGAATCTTATTTTTCTAGCAAAAGGAACACTGTGATTCTCAGATAATCACATGACTCTAAGAGCTGGGACTTTAAGAAAAGCACCAAATGTTATAAAAGTCGGGATAAATTCATGGGAATTGGCAACTTTGGCAGAGGAGCCATACAAGACCCGTGTACCACCTAAATCCCAATAGAGCACTCTTTCTTAAACTATGTTCCATGGAACACTGGTGTTCTGTGAACATCTCGCAGGTGTGCCGTGGCCTTTTTTTTTTTTTTTTTTTTTTTTTTTTTGGTCTGACACCAGTTTTTTTTTTAAATAAAATGTTCATAGGTTCCACATAAAAAATATTATTGTTTGGTGTTCCATGGTCTCAAAAAGTTTAAGAAACACTGCAATAGAGCACTTCTGAACTTCAAGGAAGGGAGAGGAGGGAAGGAGGGAGGTAAAAGAGACTTTTTCTTTGCACCAGTATCTTTCAGTTATAGTCCTCTTTGTAAATTCTGCAGTACAGGTTGATCCTCTCTAGTCACCCTCAGGACCTAACTAGTGCTGAACTAGAGCATCTGTCAGATCGCGGGAGGTCAACCACAGCCCAGGGGCTGTGATGATGGTCCCAGCCTCCGCCCCTTATCCACAGATAAGATGTGGAGAAATTGGAGAAGGTCCTGAGAAGAGCAACAAGAGTGATGAAAGATCTAGAGAACATAACCTAGGAGGGAAGGCTGAAAGAACTGGGCTTGTTTAGCTTGGAAAAGAGGAGACTGAGAGGGGACATGATAGCGGTTTTCAGGTATCCAAAAGGGTGTCACAGGGAGGAGGGGGGAAAATTGTTCTCCTTGGCCTCTGATGACAGGACAAGAAGTAATGGGCTTACGTTGCAGCAAGGGAGATTTAGACTGGACATTAGAAAAAACTTCCTAACTGTCAGGGGGTTAAGCACAGGAATAAATTGCCGAGGGAGGTTGTGGAATCTCCATCACTGGAGATATTGAAGAGCAGGTTAGATAGATGTTTGTTAGGGATGATCTAGATGGAGTTTGGTCCTGCCGCGAGGATGGGAGTGGATTTGATGATCTCTCGAGATCTCTTCCAGTTGTAGTTCTCTATAATTCTATGATTCTGAACACAGGAATAAATTGCCGAGGGAGGTTGTGGAATCTCCATCACTGGAGATATTGAAGAGCAGGTTAGACAGACGTTTGTTAGGGATGATCTAGACGGAGTCCTGCCGCGAGGATGGGAGTGGATTTGATGATCTCTCGAGATCTCTTCCGGTTGTCGTTCTCTATAATTCTATGATTCTGATGTTGCCTGGGTCCCAGCTGCCAGCTCTGGGGCTCCCCTCTTGGCCCCAGACAGGGGCTGCACAGTTACTCCCTGCTGTGGTCCCAGCCTGGGGTAGTGAGGATAAGGGGTGTGTGTGCAGGAAACTTGACCCCACCCACCATAAGCGGACAGCTGGCTAACTAAAATCATGCCGGACCATGGATGTTGCTGGACCAAAAAGTGCCGGACTAGAGAGGTTCAACCTGTAAACGCAAAGAGTGGAATTAAACCCAATGGGAATTGTATCATTCACTTCAGTGGAACCAGGATTTTACCCAGTGGTTTGCAGGCAGAAATGGAGCCCTTTCACAAATGAGCTTCTGGCTAACGGAGCTTGTGTTGTTGGGGAGTTTGCGATCACTGAATGACACATTAAAGAACCACTGTAAGCAAGCAGGTTGAAAAGCTCGAAGGACATTCAAGCATGCATTGTTTATTTCTCTAGAAAATGGGAATGACAGAAGATGACAAAAGAAATTGCTGTTTGCTAGAAATTCAGGAAACCGAGGCCAAATATTACAAAACACTCGAAGACATAGAAAAGGTGAGAGCTGGCGTTTTTGGTTTTTTTTTCTTTCGCTTGGTTTCATGTCAGCAGCTTCAGGTTGCATTTGATCTTACGTTATTCTTGCTGGATTCGTTCTTGCTACTGGACCTCCATAGTACAAGGTGGTTGTGAAAGAAGGCAGGACGGAGACATTTAAACATAAACCCATTCTGGGTACCATAATGTGGAGAAAAAAGGAATCTCTTTTGTCTGATCACTAAGTATTTAAAATGTACTAAAAACCATTCTGTTATTTCAGAAGGCTATTCACCCCAGCCTCCCCCCACTCCAACCTGAGTAGTCAAAGGCATCAATTCTGATGGGACTTAGGCACAATTTCCAGATAAGACTAGCTTTTGTAGATTTCTTATCACTCTTTGATCACTACTAAATAATTTGAAAGAACCTATTTATTCCAGGCAGTTCTTAAATTGCAGAAGCTGTGTTGCCTTGTCATTGAAACTAATTGGATTAAAAGCAACGTTTCCCTGCATGCATTCACGGGTTTTAATTGGTTTTCATAAATTCTGGTTGCATTTTTTCTTTTGAGCCAATGCTTCCTACTAGAGTTCGGGTATTATTTCCCCCTTCAGTGATTATAGATAAGTAGAATTAAAATACAATCCAGCTATCATTTCTGCTTTTTTTTTCTATGCCCTTTAAAAATGTTTGCCTTCCTTGCAAAGAAGCTGGGAAAGAGACCTGTTCAATTGAACGAGATTCCTGACTTTTAAAAAGAAAGGCTTTGATGTTCATATTAGTGTTGTACACATTACTTGTTTTTTGAAAACAATGATTAACCTTGTGTTTCAGCCCAGAGCAGGGCTGCCGATGGGAGGGCAGGGCAGAGCAGAGGGGTAAAGGGGATAGTTGTCCTGGGGCCAGGCCATTTAAAAGGGCCTGTGCTGGAACCTTGGGACCTTTCAATCACTCCTGGAGCCTTGCCTTGCATGGCATGGTCAAGCCAGAGCTGAGTACTGGCGGCCTCTAGATCCACCCCCTTCCTCCGAGACCCCACCGCTTTGGTGGTCTCCAGAGCCAAGACCCCCACATTGCGCAGGGCCCAGCGAAGTTTGTCGCCATCCCTGGCCCTAGAGGAAGAGGTAAATTATTGCCTTGTATGAGCCATGACAGCTATCAGCGTAGATTTTTTGCTGTGGGGCTAAGGTCCTGTAATGAGCTATACTTTGTCTGTTCTGTCGCTATGGAGAATTCAGACTTTCCAATGCATACCCATTGGTTCAGAAAAGTACCTCCAATGTAGTCATTCTTCAAAGGCAAAAATTCAAGCTGATTGGAAGTTTTTCCACTAATCAGTGCTGTACACCAGCGGTTCCCAACCTGTGGTCCGCAGACCCTGAGTGATCCATGATGGTACTGCAGGGGGTCTGTGAAAAGATTTAACTGTTTGGATCATGCCCATCGCAGTGGGCCCAAACTTTTCTTTTCTTTTCTTTTCTTTTCTTTTCTTTTCTTTTCTTTTCTTTTCTTTTCTTTTCTTTTCTTTTCTTTTCTTTTCTTTTCTTTTCTTTTCTTTTCTTTTCTTTTCTTTTCTTTTCTTTTCTTTTCTTTTCTTTTCTTTTCTTTTCTTTTCTTTTCTTTTCTTTTCTTTTCTTTTCTTTTCTTTTCTTTTCTTTTCTTTTCTTTTCTTTTCTTTTCTTTTCTTTTCTTTTCTTTTCTTTTCTTTTCTTTTCTTTTCTTTTCTTTTCTTTTCTTTTCTTTTCTTTTCTTTTCTTTTCTTTTCTTTTCTTTTCTTTTCTTTTCTTTTCTTTTCTTTTCTTTTCTTTTCTTTTCTTTTCTTTTCTTTTCTTTTCTTTTCTTTTCTTTTCTTTTCTTTTCTTTTCTTTTCTTTTCTTTTCTTTTCTTTTCTTTTCTTTTCTTTTCTTTTCTTTTCTTTTCTTTTCTTTTCTTTTCTTTTCTTTTCTTTTCTTTTCTTTTCTTTTCTTTTCTTTTCTTTTCTTTTCTTTTCTTTTCTTTTCTTTTCTTTTCTTTTCTTTTCTTTTCTTTTCTTTTCTTTTCTTTTCTTTTCTTTTCTTTTCTTTTCTTTTCTTTTCTTTTCTTTTCTTTTCTTTTCTTTTCTTTTCTTTTCTTTTCTTTTCTTTTCTTTTCTTTTCTTTTCTTTTCTTTTCTTTTCTTTTCTTTTCTTTTCTTTTCTTTTCTTTTCTTTTCTTTTCTTTTCTTTTCTTTTCTTTTCTTTTCTTTTCTTTTCTTTTCTTTTCTTTTCTTTTCTTTTCTTTTCTTTTCTTTTCTTTTCTTTTCTTTTCTTTTCTTTTCTTTTCTTTTCTTTTCTTTTCTTCCCATCCCAGGGAAGGGTTCCATGAAATTTGAATAGTTTAAAAAGGGATCCATAAACTCGAAAAGGTTGGGAACCACCGCTATGCACCATTGCAACCGATGATAACTTTGTGAAGAAATTAGCAAATTCTCTGCAACAACAAAAAGAACACTCCCTCCCCACCCCTTGCCCCACCGCCCATTCATTTGCCCAGATTGGAGACACCTTTGGAAAATATTCCAGGCATTAACAACTCCCCCAATTCAAGTGGTCAAGTGGCTACACTCCTTACTTCTATGTTGCTGGTGGTGATGAGGCCACCTTTGGAGCTGGGCGCCTAGCCAGCAGCCGCTGCTCTCCAGCTCTGAAGGCAGCACATAGATGAGGATGGCAATACCGTGATCCCCCCTGCAATAGACTTGCAATCCCTTTTTTGCATCAGGACTCCCGAGTTTGAGAAACGCTAGCTTAGTCCACAGAGCAGGAGTGTGCAGTTGATTTAAATTAACTGTATTATAGCTCAAAGCTTCCTTTGGTCCTGAATGCCTGAGCTTTTCACTGCGGACTGCCTGACTTGCAGCCTGGCTTTTAGTTCAAGTGGAATCTTGTTTGTGTTCTTGACAAGCTGACCACCATACATGGCATTTATGCATCCCAATCCCAGAAAGCCCCGTCCTGTCCCCACAGAGCTGTTACAGATCACAGCTAGGTTGCATGATCCTTGTCCTTGCTGTGAGTGAGGAGGGGATATGATACAGGCCTATAAAATCATGACTGGCATGGAAAAAGTGAATAAGAAAAAGTTATTGCCTTATTCCCACGATATAAGAACTAGGGTTACCAAATGAAATTAATAGGCAGCAGGTTTAAAACAAACCAGAGGAAGTTTTTCTTCACTCAGCGCACAGGCAACCTGTGGAACTCCTTGCCAGAGGATGTGGTGAAGACTAGGACTTGAACAGGGTTCAAAAAAAAGCTGGATATATTCATGGAGGTTAGGTCCATCAATGGCTATTAGCCAGGATGGGTAGGAATGGTGTCCCTAGCCTCTGTTTGTCTGGAGATGGATGACAGAAGAGGGATCATGTGATGATTACCTGTTATGTTCCCTCCCTCTGAAGCATCTGGTATTGGCCACTGTCAGATGACAGGATACTGGGCTAGAGGGACCTTTGGTCTGACCCAGCATGACCGTTCTTACATTCTAACAAACATCTTAGTCTTATCTCTTGGCAAGTCACCAAGATGCCCATCACCCCTCTGGAAAATTCAACCACTGCAACAATTTTAGCTTAAAAAAGAAAAAACTGTATTGCATCGGCTCATTTATTTCAATACGTTTTCCATTTCCCTCTTACAGAACTACATGAATCCATTAAAGCTGGTACTGACGCCACAAGAGATGGAATCTATTTTTATCAACTTGGAGGTAACAGTCTAAACACCGTTGCTTTAATCTTTGCTCCTCTCAGCTTATGCTTCATCCTGCTTAAGAAATTCATTGCTTGTGTCTGTGTAGTTTCAGTTGTGATGAGCCACGGAGCTTGGATTGGAACTTAGGTGTTGTATAAAGACACGGTGACAGATTTACAACAAGGAAATAATTTGGCCAGTTTCAGAAGGGTAACCGTGCTAGTCTGCTTCAGCAATAACAACAAGAAGTCCTGTGGCACCTTAAAGACGAACACATTTAGTAAGGGCATAAGCTTTAGGGCGCTAGGGGTGTAAAATCCCGTTTAATTGGTTAAACAGGTAAAGACAGGGCTGACACTATGTTTAACCATTTACGATGAAAGGGGGTGTGGGCAGGGAGGCTGTTCTAGTGGGGCTGCAGCGCCCCGCCCCCCTACCTTCTGGGGTCAGGGTAGAGCAGCCCCCACCACAGGCAGGGGCAGCTCCAGGCTGGCTGCGGTTCCTGGCCTCCCCCCACGCAGGGGCTGCTGCTGCCACGGCTTCCCGTGCTAGCCCCTGTGTGAGGGCTGCAGGCTCCCAGGGAGCCAGCAGTCCCATGTGGGGAGCCTGGCAGGGCTGGAGCAATCCTCTCCCTCTGGCTGGGCTGCAGGTGGGGAGGGGGCTGCTCCCAGGTAGCAGTTAATCATTACCCAGTAAGCATCACCTATTAAGGATGATGCTTTACCGCAGTGGTTCCCAACCATTTAAGGTTGCCGGGCGCCAGGGGGCGTGGCCGTTCGTCCGCCGGGCAGTCCCATGTGGGGAGCCTGGCAGGGCTGGAGCAATCCTCTCCCTCTGGCTGGGCTGCAGGTGGGGAGGGGGCTGCTCCCAGGTAGCAGTTAATCATTACCCAGTAAGCATCACCTATTAAGGATGATGCTTTACCGCAGTGGTTCCCAACCATTTAAGGTTGCCGGGCGCCAGGGGGCGTGGCCGTTCGTCCGCCGGGCAGAAATTCATTGCTTGTGTCTGTGTAGTTTCAGTTGTGATGAGCCACGGAGCTTGGATTGGAACTTAGGTGTTGTATAAAGACACGGTGACAGATTTACAACAAGGAAATAATTTGGCCAGTTTCAGAAGGGTAACCGTGCTAGTCTGCTTCAGCAATAACAACAAGAAGTCCTGTGGCACCTTAAAGACGAACACATTTAGTAAGGGCATAAGCTTTAGGGCGCTACACATTTAGTAAGGGCATAAGCTTTAAGTGCACCACGTGCTCGGGGCCAGGCCAGCCCTGAGCACTTGGCGGGCACAAACAGATGGCCCCGTGGGCGCCATAGCGCCTGGGGGCACCGTGTTGGGGACCACTGCTTTACCGGACAACCGTTTGACTGACTGCCTGTTGGCATCCCTATTTTACATAGACGGTAGATACCATTGTTCCCAATTCAGAGATGGGGACTGAGCCAACGAGGTGACATATGACCTGTCCAAGTTCTCCAGGAAGGCCAGTTGCAGAGCTGGGTAGGTCTCCCACGCCCCAGTCTTGTGTGCTACACTGCCTGGTCTTGTATGTGCATTCTTTCAAAGAATCACATCATCATCACAAACACACACGCTGCGTCTAGACTGGCAAGCTTTTCCGCAAGGAAAAACTTGCCATCTGTCTACACTGGCCGCTTGAATTTGCGAAAGAACACTGATAATCTCATGTAAGATTGTCAGTGTTCTTGCGCAAATACTATGCTGCTCCCGTTCGGGCAAAAGCTCTCTTGCGCAAATCATTTGAGCAAGAGGGACAGTGTAGACAGCACAGTGCTGTTTTCTGTGCAAAAAAAGCCCTAATAGCTAAAATGGCGATCGGGGCTTTTTTGCGCAAAAGCGCGTCTAGATTGGCACGGACGCTTTGCCACAAAAAGTGCTTTTGCGCAAAAGCTTCCGTGCCAATCTAGACGCTCTTTTCCGCAAATGCTTTGAACGGAAAAACTTTTCCGTTAAAAGCATTTGCGAAAAATCATGCCAGTCTAGACGTAGCCACTGTGTGCTGCTGCCCATGAAAGCTTATGCCCTAATACATTAGTCTTTTAAAGTGCCCCAGGACTCCTTGTTTTTATTTGGCGCACGTGTGTGTGTGTGTGTGTGTGTTTAGCCTGTGTGTGTGTGTGTGTTTCACACATGCCTGTTCAAGAATTTATATGCATACAGGAGCAGACAACATGGCTACACAAGACTGGGGCATTGGAGACTTGGATTTTATACCCAGCTCTGCAAGCGGCCTGCTAGCAGACAGATCACGTAATCTCATTGGCTCAGTCCCCATCTCTGACTTGGGGTGAATGTTACCTACCACCTGTGAAAAGTGCTTTGCGGTCTATGGGGGGGAAGTGCTTTATAAATACCAGGCAGTGGTGTTGTGCGTGTGCGCGACTGATCTCATAGAATCATAGAATCATAGAATAATAGGACTGGAAGGGACCTCGAGAGGTCATCGAGTCCAGCCCCCCGCCCTCAAGGCAGGATCAAGCTCCGTCTACACCATCCCTGACAGATGTCTATCTAACCTGTTCTTAAATATCTCCAGAGAGGGAGATTCCACCACCTCCCTTGGCAATTTATTCCAATATTTGACCACCCTGACAGTTAGGAATTTTTTCCTAATGTCCAATCTAAACCTCCCCTGCTGCACTTTAAGCCCATTACTCCTTGTCCTGTCCTCAGAAACCAAGAGGAACAAATTTTCTCCTTCTTCCTTGTGACACCCTTTTAGATATTTGAAAACTGCTATCATGTCCCCCCTTAATCTTCTTTTTTCCAAACTAAACAAGCCCAGTTCATGAAGCCTGGCTTCATAGGTCATGTTCTCTAGACCTTTAATCATTCTTGTCGCTCTTCTCTGTCCCCTTTCCAATTTCTCCACATCTTTCTTGAAATGTGGTGCCCAGAACTGGACACAGTACTCCAGTTGAGGCCTAACTAGTGCAGAGTAGAGCGGCAGAATGACTTCACGAGTTTTGCTTACAACACACCTGTTGATACAACCTAGAATCATATTTGCTTTTTTTGCAACAGCATCACACTGTTGACTCATATTCAACTTGTGGTCCACTATGACCCCTAGATCCCTTTCCGCCATGCTCCTTCCTAGACAGTCCTACCATAATCTAGCATTTGAAGCTGTCCTCTGTGATACAGGGCCAAGTTCTGTTAGATGCTTATTGAGTGAAGATTCATCCCTGAGCAGAAAGCTGTCATAGTCCCATTGAAACCAGAGTAGGCCCTGCCTCGTCCTCTTGCTAGCCCATTTCAGAAGTGAGTTTCCCTCTTCATGCAGGGGCCCCAATGAAGTCAAAGTGAATTCCATGTTCCAGATCTGGCTCACAATCCATTTCTGATTTTTGGTGTTTGACCGACAGATATCTGGCTGGTCCCCGCCCCCCACCCCTCACTTCCCTCTCCTTTCCCGCACAATCCAGGCAAAGGCAGTAAGTTCTCTGACCTCTTACTCTGCCTTGGTCTCCACATATGGCCAGATCCTCCTCCCTTACCAGGTGGCCACCGTATTATCCCCTAAATGCCATCTGGTGAGAAGATGAACGACTCATCTCTCATGCCAGCGCCGTCTAAGACAGCTGGCAGCACTGGAGAACAGCATGAGCCTCGTTAATGGAGACGTTGGGGCTCATCAGGGAAGTTCAGTGATGCACCTTCGCGGCTGGTTCGCTCCGCACAAGTGAAGGAGGCGTGGTTCTTAGGATCCCTTGGCAGGTGGCAGTGGAAGCATCCCAGGGTGTTGCAATTAAGCAGTTGAGATTTCCTAACTAAGGGGGCCAGACACATTTGACCCATTATCAGCATAGGCCCATCGTGTAAATCATTTCAGGGTCAGGGCAGTCACTGCTTCACTTTCCACCTTCTTGGAGAAGGCTGCATCGGGTGGGCTTTCCCTGCTGTGTCCCGTCAGGTTACTGAGTGCTGCTAGACTGCTCCCCCTAGACCTAGTAATGGGAGTTTAATATGCACAGAACCCCGATGTGCATTTATCATTGTAGAACCCTCCAGCTTAATTACACCCTCGTCTTGGTGGTGATTTAGGGAGATCTCTCGCTGGAGTCAATTGAATTAAAACAGTTAATAAACAAAGAGCTGGTCTACACTGGGAACTTCTCTCTCTCAGGAGGGTGAAAAATCCACGACCTTGACAGACACAGCTCTGCCGACCTGACCCCTGGTTTAGCCAAGGCTAACTCAATAGAAGAATTATTTTCTTTACCTAGCCACTGCCTCTCGGGGACATAGGTTACCTAAGCCAACAGGAGACCTGCTGCGGTAGGAGTTTAAGTTTAGACAAAGCCAAAAAATGACTGCACGGTTGCTTAAAGAAGTGCATGTGTATTAACTAACCCCTTTACAGGCTTGTGCACAGAGTTTGGACATCTTTAATGTATTGATTTCTCTTTGTTGCATTAGGACCTAATTAAAGTGCACTTCAATTTCCTGAGAGCCATCGATGTCTCTATGATGTCTGGAGGAAGCAGCCTGGCAAAAGTTTTTCTGGAATTCAAAGAAAGGTAAAGAGAATGAAAGGCAACGCCAGCATGCTGGAAGCTCTAATTTTGATAAAGATTAAAATTTGAACCCGGATTGAGCATTGCCCACACAAGGCATAATCTGAGAGTGAAAAATATTGAAAAGAATTACACTGACCTTGATGGACCCGGGCGCCCTGCTTATCATGGTGCCCTCTCATTTTTTTTCACCTGTGTGTGGAATAAATTGTGTTATGTGCAGTGAGGCAAGTACAGATGTGCATCACCAGTAGAAACACATGCTGTCGGCTGTAGGCACTCTGCTAGTGAGCTGGGTGGCATTTGAATCTTTCTTGGGAGGCCTCCTAAGCGCTCAGCTTACAGGGAACACTGACACTCATACATAGCTTTGATTAGTTTTTTATTAGTTTCATTTCCCACCATGGGCAGGAAAGGGCCTGAAAGAATGTGCTGCATTTATCATACCTAGCTGCTGCCCAACAGGATTTCTGGCCATCAGTTGGGGGGAATTTGTCTGGTAAATGGTAGAACGATAGGAGGCGGCATGAGATGGGCAGGAGACATGAAGAAAGAGGAGGGTCTATCCCAAAATAAGCCATTACTATTTCATGACACACTGGCTAGATCCTCAATGGGGGTAAGTCACTTATAGATGGAAAAAGGAGCTCACTTGATTTATACCAGCTGACACAGGTGCGTAAAAAGCTCACCTGCATGCACCACGAAGTTTAAACAGCTCCCCCAGTCCTTGGCAGCATCCTCAGGACTCTGCAGAAGCCTAAACAAATTCCTCGGTAACATTGGACATTCAGGGTTCCCGCTGTGTAGATGGTGCAAGAAAGCTACGCTGGGAGGAAGGTCTCAATGCTGGGTTAATTCCCTATCAGTGCAGGGCAGAGGTAGGGAATCTCCGGCCTGCAGGCCAGATGCAGTGCATCAGGGTAAGCTGCTGGCCTGGTCACCTGATGGTTTATTTACCTGAGTGTCCTCAGTGGACGCTGCTTACAGCTCCCGGTGGCTGCAATTGGCCGTTCTCGGTGAGCGGGCCAGACTGCTGCTTCCCATGGTGCCCATCAGCTGGGAACGCTACACCGCAGCCACCGGGAGCCACCGAGACTCTCGGTGGGCTGCCAGCAGCTTGCCCTGACGAACCACATTCAGCGGGAGCCTGGCGTAGAGGCTCCAGGTTCTTTTTCTAGTCCTTTCGGTCTCCTTCCAAAACACCTGTGCCGCAGTGTGCGTCAAAGGTGAGCGACCACCGGCCAGGCAGTTTGGTCATTGTGAGTACAACCCCTCGTTCTGCGCTATTATCCCAGACCGCACTTAGCCCCCCCGTAAAGGAACGGCAGCTTGAAGGGAAACATCATGGGGGAGATTGTCCTATACCCATTTTCTTCTCAGACACCATGATATCACCATGTTCCTGGCCGTATTGCGTGACTGGCGCTATCCTTATATTTGCTAAGCCCTCGAGTGTTCTAGGACCCAGGGGGAGAGAGGCCTGTGTGGAGGTCTTCATTCAAAGGCAGCGCTGGCTAAGTCTTTCCCAGACCTTATTGTGCCGCAGCCTGGATTGGCCGTCCTAGGGCCTGCACATCCTGCAGCGAATGCTTTCGTCTGTAAGAGCCCCGGAGAATAAAGATGACAGCCCGTGACTTCGCGGAGGCAGAATCATTCCTCGCCGTTGAGTGTTTAACTGGGGTCTCCTCCTGCAGGATGCAAAGGGTCAGGGAGAGTTAAGGACACGCTGCACCCTTGCAGAATCATTTCCTTTGTCTACAGAGGGCACCTCGGTCTGACAGATCAAAGCGACTGTTCTCTCCTCCATCTGGCGCTGCTGACATCCTGCACCTATGGGAGGATTAATAGATTTAAAGCCTAGATTAAGTTACACAGAGGAGTCTAAGTTTTGGCAGCTGCAAACTGGAGTATCCAGGAACATGCAGATAAGGTTAATGAAAGTCTTAATAATATCCTTAATAATAATCAAAGGCCTGATTTATTGTGGAATAACGCCAGGGTGTTACTGCTGTGTGATTCAGCCAGTGTCTAGACGTGGAAATGCCTTTCAGAAGTCAATAACTCCAGAAATACCATCTGCATTAATAGCAAGCTACGGGGTCAGAGAGTCCATTATTTAGGAGACTGCTTTTAGAAAGTCAATGGCCTTGGATTAAAAAAGAATAGGTTTTTGAGGAAAAGAATGCAAAACTATTTTTTGTTTAAATTCCATAAACATTACTGACCTTGTTTTGATCCCGATTCCTGGCTTTGCTTGTCCTGAAATGTTCTGGTCCTGTCACGTTGGGAAGCCATTCTGGGCTGTATCGTCTAGGTCGGGATTTCGAACACATAGAATCATAGAGCTGGAAGAGACCTCAGGAGGTCATCAAGTCCAGCCCCCGCCCAAGGCAGGACCAATCCCAACTAAATCAACGCAGCCAGGGCTCTGTCAAGCCGAGACTTAAAAACCTCAAGGGATGGAGATTGCACCACCTCCCTAGGGAACCCATTCCAGTGCTTCACCACCCTCCTAGGGAAATAGTTTTTCCTAATATCCAACCTAGACCTCCCCCACTGTAACTTGAGACCATTGCTCCTTGTTCTGCCGTCCATCACTACTGTGCCTGTCTCCATCCTCTTTGAAACCTCCCTTCAGGAAGTTGAAGGCTGCTATCAAATCCCCCCTCACTCTTCTCTTCTGCAGACTAAATAAACCCAAATCCCTCAGTCTCTCCTCATAGGCCATGTGCTCCAGCCCCTAATCATTTTGGTTGCCCTCCTCTGGACCCTCTCCAACATAGTATACCAGATACAGTTTACTGAGGCCATGTTGCCACTTACTGGAAGATCAACGCTCTGGCGATCAATCTTCCAAGGTTTGATTTAGTGGGTCTAGTAAAGACCCTCTAAATCAAACACTGAGGGTACTCCCATTGGTGCCAGTACTCCTCGCTGTCATGAGGAGTAAGGGAACTCGATGGAAGCTTTTCTCCCATCGACCTGCTGTGGATACAGCTGGAGTTGTGTACCTTAAGCTGACCTTCCAGGTGTTGTGTAGACCTGGCCTCGGAGGTTTTTGCAATCTCTTTCTGAAAACTCCCAGGTGCTTTTGTTTTTGTTGTGTCTGAGTTATCCTTACTCTCATGTGAGGCACCTAAAGGCCTGTAAGTGTGGGGGACCCTCTACATAAATGTTTGCTGCTGTTAATTGAGGAATAAAAGCTTGGGAGAGGAGAGGTAGTTAGGTGGCTGATGCATCTGTGTGCATGTGAACTTGCTCACCCAATCTCAAAAGGAATTCACAAATAATGTTTTTGGGTTTTTTTTGGAAGAGCCTGAAAACCTTCCAGACACACAACAATTAATCAGACCTCCAGCTGTGAGCAGCTGATCTTGACTGGCAGCTGCAAATCCTCGCGCAGGCTCCAGAGACCTTAGATACCAAACCATTCCTCAGAACTGTCTTTCAGAGAGTTTTAATCACTCATGTGGAGCAGGAGTTTTGAAGGGGCATTTTTTTTACCGTTATTAAATTGGAGAGAAGCCTCTCCTTTCTTATCTGGCCTAATGCACACAGCATCGCTGCCCACACTGACCTGGTCTCACCCTGGAAAGGGAATGAACAGGTAACATCCCCAGTTCAGCCATAGCCTGTTGGGCTAAAGGCTTGCTCCACTTAGGTTGTCTGATGATTTGATAGTGGCTAGCTTGGGTAACCATAGTGGTGTAGGTGCAGTGACATGATCTTCAGCACTGGCTGTAACTGGAGTGCATGCGGGCTAGCAGGCAGGCTCCTCAGCTGGCTTGTACTTGGGTGGCTACCCTGTGCCTCTGCACCTTGATCAGCGGTGGGCAACCAAGGCTAAGGGGTGAGCCATATGAATGGCCCTCCTTCATCTCGGGGCCACAAGATTGTCATAATCAAGATGGTCTCCCAAGATAGGGTAGTTTGCTCACTGCACTTGTGTGCCTAGAATTTGCGGGTGGTGCCGATGGCACTGTAGCAGCGCTGTGATTGGACGCAGAGGGAGCGCCTGGTTCTTGCAGTCAGTGTTGTGTGCACCCAGCCCGCACCTCAACGCAGAGGGAGCGCCTGGTTCTTGCAGACAGTGTTGTGTGCAACCATCCCGCACCTCGCTCCATGGGCCCTGGCTTTACGGGTGTGTTAGTAATATCGGTAGGTAAAAACCGATGTGGATAAAAACCAGCACAATCTGCACGTGGGCAGCAATGAACAAAATGTCTCATGGGCCTCACGTAGAACCCCGACGGGCCACATGTGGGCTGTGGGCTGCAGGTTGCCCACCACTGATCTAGACGACTGTGTTACGTGTGCAAACTACATTAAAGGTTGCTCTGGTTTGCCTGCCCATGCCACAGTCACACCTTCCCGTGCTGTGCAGACCTATCCAGTGTCACCCCTGCATCTGGTGCATCTTTTAAGTATCACCATTGGTGCACACGCAGCAAGAGAAACGCCTCCAGCCCAGAGCGGTGTGTTCCAGGTGTGATGGCGCGTCGGGAAGCCCTTGACCCTGCACTCTCATCCACAGCCAGAAACGACTCTCAGCCAACCAGTAGAGAAGAAGGTTTTATTGCTGCTCAGAGACACGGCTTAGCTCAGGAGCGATGTTACCACAGGGGCCAGGGCAGAAAGCCTTATTCCTCTCGGGGAAAGGGGCTTGACCCCCTTCCTTGGTCGAAAACATCCTCACTCCCCCTAGCCCAGCTGAGACTAACTCACCTCCCAGTAACTGGTCCCTCAGCCGCTTGCGTTGTTCACATTCCTCCACCTAGCCCAGGTGTGAGGTGGCTGGGCCATTTCCTACGTGCCTCCCCTCAGGGTCCCAACCCCGACTGGGCACTGCACACAGAGTCGCTGCAGACCAGCATGGGGCAGTAGGGGTCGCACCCTGCACAACAAGCAACCAGTGAATGCAAAACCAGAGTGGATCCAGAGCCACAAGAGTGTTACAGCATACCCCCTACGTCACAAGGGGACCTTCCCTCATGTCTTCA